ATACATCCTTAAACTTGTAGTGTAAAATGGAAAACACGACAGGATGGCTGCTCCTCGTGTCGTCATGTCGGCTCATGCTCACTGTGGTGGCAATAAAGACATTTCAAAACTACATGACATTAAAATTAAAATGCTTACGCAGGAGTTTGATGAATGCACTGCATCAAAAAGAGGGAGCCTCCCTTGGCAAAAGGCCGCGAATGGGAGCTGTTTGAATGTAAGATATGTAGGTAAACCATAATACACTCGAGTCGAATCTATAATATGAATATATATATATATGAAAGTAGACCATACCGCCCGAAATCACAATGTTTTCGCCAGAATTTTTGGAATTTATTTTCATTGACTACCACGAAAATAGCAAAAGAATCAATAACCAAAATATTAATCTGCCTTATTGAACCGATTGGACGTCGAGTTAAAAGTTAGGCCAAAGGCAATTCAAAGATTTTCTTTTAAGACTGAATGGTTTCACAATATTCTACTTTTCGGAGTGGTGAAAAATTCCACAAATCAGAGCTAATCAAAATCGGCCCAGTCGTTCTTGAGTTGCGTAACTAATCCGACTTTTTTCATTGACATAAATATATATTTGAAGTTTCCGAATCTTTAAAAAATTGTCTCCATGCTTTCTATTACAGTAGAAAAATTTCGTAGACCTCAGATTGTTAGGGATTAGTTAAAGTGATTTTGATAAACAAATTTGTTTTCTCTTCTATTGCCTCGATTAGATGATTAAGTGTCAATAAAAATTATACTTCGAAAAGATCGACCTACTGAACAATACTACTACTACTGTATTTTGCACAAAAACGAATTCTAGATCCTACTCCTCGGAGAATCATGCTATGCGATTGCCTCCAGGACTACTATTACAGGTTTCTGGTACTGGAAATTGAATTCAAATCTAGGTTTATTGATGGCCAATGTAAAAAGCCGTTTCAGCAGCTATTTTGTAAAGAAACTTATAATTTTAAAAATATATTATATACATTATTAAGCAATACTATATTCTGTTATATAAAGAACATCTCATTGAGAGTTCATAACTGTATTTAACATCGACAATAGAAAGCTCTGCATATCTATATATGTACTATCTATGTATTTCACGATGAAATCAACTTAAAGGCTCTGTTAACCATTTTGACAAATTATTCAAATTTTCAATTAAAAAATATGAATAAAGTAAAAACTATTCTTGAAAAGAACTTTAACTTCATATACTAAAAGGCTTCCACGGTTGTATTGTACGGATTTTACCACAAAAGCTCACATTTTAACTCTTTGAGTCAGGCATTTAAAACAGTACTACCATGAAAATATAAACATACTATTTCGAACCAAAAGGTGAATTTCGCGCTCTGCCAACCATTAGCGCTAAAATGTAACTAAAATGCTCGGGCACTTTAACAGTCGTAAGAGAAGCTTAAGTCGAGTAAAGGGTAAAATATGGTGCTGCATCTAAAACGTTCTCTACAATAATTTAATTCAACTACAGAAATTAAAAATTTGGTTGTTATAAATAAATACTTGAGTTACAAAATTTTACTCGAATAAATACAACTGAACAATTTGAACTGAACTGTCTATAACTATCAACCAACATATTCGATATAAGCAATTTTTGCATACGAACACAAAAATTACTGGGGGTCGAAGGCGCATATATGCACGTCAGAGTAATTAAAATTGTGGGTAAATCCAAAGAGGAGCGGTCGTGTTCCGAGTACTGTTAAAAGCGTCAGCGTGTTGCTGGTTGATTTTGTGGTAAAACCTGGTGGCACTGACAGCTTGAGGGAAGTGAAGAATGTAAGTGCAAAAGTAGGAATACAAATGTGTGATGATTTCATTAAATGAAGCAGAGATTCACACTTTCGTAATTTGCGGGTACATATGTACATACACATCTAGAAATATTTGTATACCGACATATATAATATTTATATATACATATACATATACACAATACAATGTGCTCCAACAAGGACATAAACATTAAAAACCCAAGCGAAAAGCCATAAAACAAACAACAACATAATACGATTGATAAAAACAAAAAGTAGACTAAAAGCCACACAACATTGACGACAATTACAGTACGGTGAAGGAGAGGGGGCCGTAATTTTATAATTGAAAATACGAAATTTTGGCGGCGTTGCCAAATACTGATATTTAAAAACACATACACACATAATAACACTATACAACAGAGGAAGGACTACGGAGAAATCGCTTCAAGTAGAATTGGAGAGATGTACGAGGAAGTACGATAAGTACGTACATAGCTACAGCTACATTCGTTGGCACCGTTAATTACTAATGTGTGATACATTATCGCGAACGACCAAAGTCAATTTCAGTCGAATCGAATTTGTAGTTTTGTTTTGAGCATTTATGGAAGTGTCCGCCGTTATTTAAAAACTGCAAAAAGACCAATTTTGGTCGACGTTTCGATTTTTGTTTTTGGCAAGCCAAACGGAGAAAAAATCTCAACTTTTCCAAAATTTTCCTTTTTATTTTGTGGACTAAGTATGTACATATTTATGGAACCGCCCTCGTATATATGCATATATAATGATAATGACGATATAAGTATGTATATTATACTAAAGGGAAGGAGAAGTCGCGGCGCATTCAATAGAGACAGTTGGAGATAGATACAAGTGTGTGTGTGCAGAGACAAGTAAAATTTTAATTAATGCATTTTCAATGATGAGCACGCTGCTCGTAGCGGAGGCTTACTTTTAAAACCGAGCGCAAGCTGGCACAAGCTGTGGGTACCGTGATAATTTTGTGGGCGCGCAATTTACCTGTTCAGTTGTCACCTCGCCTTCAGACTCCACCAGATCCTGCTGAGGCTGCTGCTGCTGCACATAATTACTTGCCGTACTCTCACTAACTGCATCATTACTACTATCACCAGCAGTTGACTGCTGCTCGGCTTCCTGTCTTTCACGTTGCGTTTGCTCAAAGCTAAGTGCGCCCACCGATAGAAAGTCATCCAACCACTTCATTTCGTCTTGTGTGAGCACTGGCAATGGCGATGTAGACTCTGCGTTATCTTCATCATTCACGTCAGCCACGGCTGACGCTGTTGCCGCTTCGGCTACTGCGGTCGTATCCTCATTTCGCGCTGTCGCTTCAGTACTTAATTGTTCTGGCATTGTGGCGGCAGTAAGGATTGGAGTTGGTGTTGTTGTTGTCGTCGTTGTTGTGGAAGTGGTAGTGGTGCTCGTTGTTGCATCGCGTCGTTTCAAATCATTCGTGGCGAATGGCATTGATAGAATTTGTGATTCTAATTTGGACATTTCATCGTCGGTCAGCTCATTTCGTGTGCCGCCATTGAAGAGCGCATTCCTCGTGTATTTATCGTTAAGCGCCTTGCTGCGCGCCGCCTGATCGGTGAGTGTGTCGTCCTCGCTGGTGCAGTTGGTGGTGCGCAATTCACGCACTTTGTCACCCCATTCGGTGCGCAACCAGGGTTTTTCTATTATCACCAGTCGGCAGACCACATCGGCATCCTTCGCCTTTGTATCGACGGCGTTGAGTACAATTTCGTAGCGCACACCGTCGACGATTTCGCGAAATGCATCAATAATATTGACGAAATTCATAGAAAGCGGCAGAAAAGTCATTGCGATATTCTGCACGCCAATCAGATTCGGTGAGAGGTACTCACGTTCGCCGGGATTCAGTACGTGCACTCGCTTCACTGGCTCCTCAACGACAGCAGGCCGTCGTAGTAGTTCCTATTCGAAGCGGTAGCGGATGGAAGACAATAGTTGGTTGGACGTTTTTGTTGATTGGTTCATTCAAGGATAAGTTGATTGATTGATTTATTCCAATTAAAACACCACACACCAATTTAACGTACATATACACAAACATTGACGAAAGACAAGAGAAATACATATGTATAAACGTGGTGTCTATGTAGTTGGATTTAATCACGATTTGCGCATAAATAGGTTAGGGCAAGGCAAGCTTTAGGTGCTAAAGTGTACGTATATGTGCGTTCGTGTGTGTGTGGGTGAGAGCGTGCGTGTAATTGTGTACTGTCTCATACCAAGTAATGAATGCTTTTTATAGTTTTAGTAAAAACTTTACCAAGCGTTGCACCGAAACCCAATTAAAATACGTATGAATTATTAACGTTTATGAATATTTTTAGTTACAAAGCGGGTTTTAAATTACATATAAAATTATTTGTGAAGACAGTGAGTGAATATATAAACTAATATATAAATGACATTTCCCATTCACATAATACACACATGATTATTTACTAACTCGAGCTAACCGAAATGGATTTTAATGACTGCCTGTTATTTCGTTACCGTAGGGAGCATTCTAGTCTAGAGATTTGAAAAAGTTGAATTTTTCTTTTATTTCGATAGATAGAGCTGGTGTCAAAATTGCACACATTCAGCTGCGAATTGCTTCCTCTGTCCTCAGAGCTCAAAAGTATATTCATTCGAGAAATTTAGCGCCAATGAAGAAGTAGTTGAAAAGACGGAGGTCTATTTAAAGCAATCATAATCAAAAATGGTATCAAAAAGTTGGAAGATCACTTTAATCGATGTATTGCTCTCGATCGCAACTATATATTATACAATATATATTAAATAAAATCTTGTAGAAAACATGTGTTTTTCTTCAAAGCAATGCGAACTTTTCAGCGTGGTTGGTAATCGGTTAAAAATGGATTCAAAGCAATCCACGAGTTCTCATTTTGTTGTAACTTGATGAATTGAATAACGTCATAATACTCAAATCTAAATATACCAAGTTTTTTAAAATAAAATATTTAATATAATGAGCGCCACATATGCTAAAGTATGCTGACATTATCTAATTAACCCATACCCAAATGTACATATTATATGTGTGTATATAAATGCGTGCATATGTTTGCTTCTCTTCATTTAACTGAAAGGATTTAAAACAATTTTACTAATGTGTGCTTTCTAAGCATGCATGTACAGTATTGGCCAAAACTAAAGCACTCAGTCGGGTTTTTTTGAATTTGTTTTTTTTCTTAAAATAAAATATTAGAAATAAAACGTTTTTGCATATATGTTATGTTATTATTTTATATTGATATTTATACCCTGGACCAAGTGTATTAAGTTTGACACAAAGTTTGTAACACCCAGAAGGAAGCCTCAGAGACTCTATAAAGTATGTATATTAAGTGGGGGGGGGATAGGGTTTTTACTTTCGAAAATCAATTTTTTTTCTTATCTTATTGTTTAACATTTCAAGAATATATCCTTAAAATTTTAGGTCGATAGAAGCTTATCTAAGCAATATTCTTAAAGTTATTGTCTTATTAATCTCCTGGCCTTTAACGCTCCAACCAATAGTTCATAAACTTTAGACGCGTTTTCCTAAGTCCGTGTTCACTGTCATTTCAAAACTACTTGACCGATTCATTTCAAACTTTATACACATTTTCGACATATAAAATACCGCCCCTCTATTTTAGTTCAAAAAAAAATTTTTACATTAAGAGTGTTTTCCACCCTCAAAATGGAGACATTTTAGTGGAAAATGAAAATTTAAATAGCCGCCAAAAATTTTTAAATGAAAACAAAATTATCAGAGAACGTTGGGGGGAAGATTTGATCATATTTTAACTATTTTTCTTGGTTTTTTTTCGGATAATTTCCAGCCGAGTTATGGTGAACACCGCAAATTGTTTTTTTTTCTCAAGACGTTCTGGGGGTTACTTTTTTGTCGAACAAAATAGTATTGTTTCCACCAAATAAAGAAAATTTTATTTTGTTTCAATTCACCATAGCTCAAATTGTTTGGACGGTCAGCAATTGAAAAATGTTTGTACAGCACGCCAGAGGCTCAGTTATAAGTTTTTTACCAACTACGATGGATATGATGGTGAAAATATGGGTATATAATGGGCACTAAAAGGGGTCAATACAAATAATAGGTCAATACATATACGTAATGATGCAACAAATTAAATAGTGTCAATTAGGTGGCGGTGCCAACGGATTAAACTTTATTACCACATCAAAAACCAAGGTGGAACCTTCTTACATGGTGAATACATATTAATTTAAAGTGCTCAGCTCATTATCTTGATCCAAACTAACTATTAACACGAAGTTTTTCGAATTTTCATGATAATTGAGAAAAATCCACTAGGAGTATGCTTTAATTTTGGCCAACACTGTATATGTGTATATCAATACATTATAAATATAGATGTGAATGTATATACACATATGTGTATAAGAACATATAAACATATTAATGTATTATTTAACAGATAACTTGTGCTATGTTCGTATATGCTTACATACATACACACAAATGTAAAAAGCATATAAAAATAAATAGTTAACAATAGAAAGTAGAAAACTGTATGTCAGTTAAATACATTCGAGAGAATTCACTGAACACATTATATAATCATAGGAATTTGTACTGAAGCACTGAAATTTCCATACCGACCATAAATGCATTTCATTACAAATTTGTATTTGAAAATGGAATTAGTTGAAAATTAAAACTAGCAAACAAAAGCAATTCACATAAAATATGTTTATATATATACATGTACATGTAAGTATAGATGTGACCACAGGCTAACCAAAGCTTGTTGGCCAACGTTTTACATTAGTTTTACATATGATAAGCTTTGCTAGTAAGGCTGATAATATATTAATAAAACAAAACGGGAAATACGAAACAGAAATAAGGAAAAAAGTAAATAATTATGAGCAGAGGGGCTTAATATGCAAGCTGTCAGCGCGTTCAGCACATACATACACACAAAGAGTCATGAGAGCATTGCATAAAAATGCATTAAATATAGATGCACCGTTATAAATTTCATTTAACAATAACTGTAGAGTGCTTTTGAGTAAAATATTTTGTAATATACATACATACATAGCTCTCCACTTACGGGAAATTCGATTTTAATGGGCATTTTTGAAAATTCACGTTAAAATCGACATATTTAATTGGCGAAAATTTAACAGCCTCCACAAATTAATTAATTGCACCTAAGGTGATAATTAAGCTTATATAATGTATATCATAATTCACTGATATACGAGAGCATATTGCATATCAAAATTTCACAAAAAGATAAAAAAAAAACAAAAGCAAACCTCACTAACGACTGCTGGTTATTACAGTTCAAGCAATAGCTCAAAAGCTTTAAATATTTTATAGCGAACACAAAAATAAAATGAGAAATGGAGATTTAATTTCCGATGGAACCAGATTTTAAAGCGTCTCAAACATAAGATAATTAGACATTTTAAAACAAAATTCTATCATTTTCTTTGGGATTAGTGCATTTTCGACTCTGGTGAGTAATTTTTATACCCTGAACAGGGTATATTAATTTTGCCACGATGTTTGTAACACCCAGAAGAAAAAGTCATAAATTCTTATCTGTCGGAATAGCCGATATCGGACAACTATAGCATAAAGCTACCATACAAACAGACCGATCAAACTTAAGCCCCAGTATGGAAAACTTTATTTATTAAAAATTTATCTTCACGAAATTTTGCACAAATTATTGTCCAAGGCAACGCTACAATCTTCGTCCAATTTTTTCAGATCGGACAACTATAGCATATAACTGCCATACAGATTAACTGATCAAACTCAAATCCTTGTATGAAAAATTTTTTTCACACCTTAGATATCTTCACAAAATTTGACATAGGTTATCAGCCAAGACAATGCCAAAAAAACTTATTTGAGATAATCTGCAACACCGGAACCATCTCCATCATTTCCCACACTTTATTTCAGTACAAATATCGCTTGTAGTTAAAATAAGTTCGATCAAACACACAGTCAGGATTGGGGCGACTGTCATAACTAAATGGAAACGCTCATGGCGATATATACAACTATACCTTGAGCAACATGCTGCACTCGGGTATAATATAGCGAGCATGCATCCAGTTAGATAGTCGTGCTTACTTTGTCAATACACAAGCCACTAATTAATGAATTAAAAGTGAAAGGCAGGAAAAACTGAGAGCAAAAGATGAAATCAATTAAACCTAAATGGTTGGTGCTTCTGGGGCGTGAAGTGTTTTTTCAGTTTGCTTGCGAAGGCGATGACGACGGCATCTAATAGAAATTTCTATCACGTTGCATCGCGTAAACCGCAGACACCGCTTTACGCTTCCACGGCACAAACGCTGCCGCTATTGCAGGAAAAAATTCGGAACTGAAAATGCAATAAAACAAATTAGCTACGAAATTCATTTATAGCCGGTTGAACGCTTTTTGGGGGTTTTTCATTTCCATTTCAATGGTTTTAGGCAACGCTCCATCGATGACCGAACGACCAAGCGAGCGACCGAACAATGCAGTAGTTGCTCTGCACTTACGTACAACTACAAAAACAGCTTGCTCATCGCTTACAAAACACTTGACTTTGCTGCTTTTTTATTTTTGTAAACAAATATGATTCGAAATCACAGCTTAGTGGATGAGCGTGTGTGCGTGGACAAATTGCTTTTAAAGATGGTTTCACACACAATTCTTTGATAGTTTGCGTTGAGAGATCGTGGTGTTGCCACATTTAATATTTTTTATAGTTGAATACTATCTAGATACATTTTAGTTGCATAATTCCTATATTAAATTTTAGTTGTCTTTTTTATTGACAAATATAAAAGATACATAGTACTGTTTAATTAATTTATTGTACCTCTTGAAATGGAGCTTCACACAATTTACAAGTCTAAAGCTGTCGCTTCACTTTGCCTTCCTGATGTATTGTAAATTTGCATGACAACAATTTTTATTACTCAAACAAGTCAAATTTTAATTGAATACATTATATAATCCAATTTAGTTCTTTAGACTAGTAAAATATTTTTGGAATAGTAAAATACAGCAAAGCTAGTTATTGTTATTAGTAAAGAGTTAGAGTAAATCTAATCGGTCTTAAAATCCGTTGGTTTCAGAATTCTAATTTCATAAAAATCAATCTGCCATTCCGAAACTCCGTTTATTGGTCGTCCATTTGTCAAACAACATCAAACCAAAATTTCTTGTAGACCCCAGACAAGTGTGTTATTACAGTACGAGCAAAAGTACGTTACCGAGCGCTGACCACGACAATAAACACAAAGGTTGTTAAATTTTTGAAATTGGAGTGGCTCATCCAATTGACATTATTTTTCGATTGACTACTCATATCAATATTTGCATAAAATATTATGTTCAATGAGTTGCTTTGGGTTCTTTCACAAAATTATGATATGCAGCCTGCGATTGACGAAATGATCTAGATGAAATCTACGCTATTTCTATGACTTTAATGAGAAACCAGTAAAAAAAAGTCTATTTAACTAGTTATGTTAATAGTTATTTTTTTGGTGGTTTAGGATCGGTGTCACCACTATGATCCTGACGACAAAAACAGTTTGAGTATTGAGCACAAAAAGAGAACGGGATACGGCGGTTTATGCTAAACGAATATTTGTCATAAATCAGATGATGCCTTGAAAATGAGTATGATTACTGCTCTTTAAAAAAAATTTCTAACATCAAATATTAATTTACCGCTTAATTCAAGCAGTATATTTACACAAGCAATTATGTACATAGAATAGCCGTACATTAGTCTAAGCCCATTTAAAGTAATTATTTATGACATTAGTGGCTATGGCAACATCAGCAATGTCAGTTCTACATGTAAGTAAGTAAGTGATGGCGCAATCTGCACTTTAAACGGCAGTGCTGCTACTGACTTCATCGCCAAAGGTAACTACTCGCATGGCGATGTTGTTGTGACAGATGATTTTTATTATTATTTTTAATTTTTACGCCACCGACTTTGATATATCAGCCATTGCTTTTGTCATTGTAGCCAAATGCGTTATCATGATGATACTGCATACCGCTAACTAACGGCGCGGATGATTACTGAAATTTCGAGTTCGCTGTCATTTGGGCAATGTAGTTGACCGTAGCCGACCAACGCGTCTATTGGCTATTTGGATTTGGTTCAAAGCGATGCAGTACCAAACATCAAAACGTGGTGCATATCGAATAAATTGGCATTTACCAATTACATAAGCCAGCGGTGGCGGGGCCATGTTGGTTTGGCTTGACCAAAGTCAACAGCGTACAAGCAAAAGGCCGACCTGCTCAATCGTTCAACGGGTTAATGGTCAGCGGCCTACGGGCTGCGGCCAGCAACATATGGCGTAATATATAGCAACTCACATGATAGTGATGCCTACATATGCCATATAGAAATACACACATTATACAACGGAACTTTATAGAGTTGAGCCGGCACGACAAACGAAAGGGAAGAATGCCTGAGCGGTTCTGTGTACTCAGAGCTCAAAAAGAACTTCTGGAAGAGAATGTATAAATTCCGTATTCGTTTTCTAGTTCAGCCCTCCCATATTATTGGAGCTCAGGAGACATCAGCAAAACAGGCTTCTAACAAACAACGGATTTGAGCTTCCATATTTTTTCGGAATGTTGCTGAGTCATTCACAATTTTTCCAGTCATATCCTTTTTAAAATAGGCAATGAAGTTGCAAATACTCCAAAACTCATGTAATGTAGTCTAGTAATAAGAATAGTAGCCACACCTCACTTCAATTTCAATAGATTCCCTAATGGGTATTATTGATAATAACAACAACAGCGCATATTATCAAGCTCAACTGGGTATTTATGCCGACTTGTTAGCAATGAAAACGCAGAAACAGTAACATTTGGATAATCAAGCGGCCAGCATGAAAGTGTAATTTCAAAATCCAAACAATTGGAAAGCATTGATGAGTTCAATCGGCAAATAAGAAGCAAAGAGGGAATTGTAAAAAGATAGGGCAGGGACTGAAAGAACGGGTTATTACATAATTTATAACAACAAAGTGAATAGGCCTAAAAGTTTCCAAAATAAATGAAAACACTCGAGTTCACACGAGCAAGCTACTCATTAGCATTTAATTATGGCGCGCCGACTAGATCCATAGACGGCGACACAAAAAAAAATCAAGGGTTTGAAGAGGAGCACAAATGTGCACATGATGGCGATTGTTGTTGTAAATATTATTCCAAATGAACACTGAAATGCTTTTATCCTGCGTCTATAATCAATACCGACGACGGCCAGACGAGTCGCAACTAAAAATAAAGTTATTTAATTCATTATTTTTGTCTGCTAGATTGGGTAACCGAAATTGAAGAAGTGTATAAATAATGATATAGGTATATATATACATATCTAGACATTTGATTATAAATTCAAAAGTTAACAAAAGCAGAAGAATGAGAAGAACTGATAACGCATTGATCATTTAAAATGTGATTCCACTAAATATGTAAATTTCCAATTCACCAGCTATCTCATTAAGTCAATCGACAGACTGTCTACCCGGTTGATGGTCGTACATACGTTGAGTTTTTTTGTTGTGGTCGTAGTCAGCACTCTCGATACTTCAGTTTTTAAACTGATTTACATAAATTCACTTTTGCGTCACAACAGGCGGACACCAGCCAATATACAATATAGATAAATGGACGCTCGCGTTGGAAGCTCAGCTGTGTATAAAAACACTTCGATATATTAGAAGAATGGAAGTTTGCGCAAAAGTAAAAATAAATTAAGTAAGCGACAAACAGCAAAGAAAAATTGAGGCTTTTTTGAACTTTTTACTATCAGTTTTGAGGAAGGACTGAGGCTCGTACAAACGAATATTCGTTGGGTATCTTGGGTTTAGGCTTTATACCATAGTTTGTGAAAACACATGTATGCTCTCAGACTCAGAGAAGCTGGGTACATAGATGACTGTGAGCCTGGGCACTATGGAATCCTCTCGATCAACACTTGCGGGGAGGGTTGGTAGCGGAGAACACTGTCAGGAACTATCCATCAACTCCAGTTTTAGGCTTCGTAACCACTGTAGCGTTTTCCAAGCGGGAGTAGCCGCCATAATAGTAGGAGTAGATCTACTGATCCGGAGCACAGCCTTCTTCAGAGTGGAGACTATTTACTATCGATATCAGTGCAGTGAGCTTAGTTAAAGACTCGCTGACTGTGCGCTTAAGACGAGTGAAGAGATGTCTAGACTCATTATCTCTAGCATCAAGTTACTACTTGATTATATTACTGGTTTGGGGTGCCTAGCCACATATTTTAGACATGCAGGTGAAATAGTGGAAATAGTAATAAAGCACCTAATCAGATTTGTGATGGGTCGATAGCTGATACCTAACCACAGGAGTTTATCATCTGGCTTCACAAAGGACTGTACTTAGCAGTGTAAGTGTCATCACTCGCTTTTATATTAGCAATAAAATAAATGACATTTGGGAAAAGTTTGTCAAAAATATGGTATACATATATGTATATATGTAAGTCACCAATGAATTCGATTGCGATGACTAAATCTAAACAACTCTTAATTGTAGACAATACATACCTATTTCATAATTTGGTGTGAAATTCTATCTAGTTCTGAGTAAATTTGCAAAAATTTGGCAAAATTGATTTAGGTCGATGTAGCGATTTGCCAGACAACTCTCCTCCAAGTTATCACCAAAACGAGTATAGATATATGCAGATTCATATAAAAGAAATTACAAAAGGAGTTTTAAACTTTTCATAATCGTTTCTTTTAGATGTTCTCAAACCTATAAAGCGGTCACCAGTACCGTTACCTCAATTAAATTTTGTCACCATTATCAATTTTATAGAACATTAAAATTGAAAAGGCAATCAAATTAATTTCTCGCATATATGGAGAAGTGTGTAAGAGTATGTACGTCACTGAGTACGTAATTTCAGATACTATAATTTTATTGCATACAATAGGCGTAGCTTCATATAACATATATACTATATGTACAGGGCTTTTCAATAGGTAGTCGGTTTTTGCTACTGGCATTAGCAAAATATTGGCTAATATTGTACTCTAACAAAGCTTTTGCGCCCATACCGCTGAAATATAGCAAGATCAACAAAATGTTTCCAAAACCATCGTTTACCTGGAACAATTCGCGGCTTTATCTCACCAACATTTTTCCACGAGAAACATTTTTCAATTACAGAAGCGAAAGGTCTGAAGGATTATGTAAACTAACATCTAACAGATTGGCGAAGTGAATTCAAGTGTTCACTAAGGTCACATCATTATGAGAACTACTTGACGCAATCGAAACCACCTTTAAGAATTTGTATGTAACAGTAAAAACATAAAATTATTGCATGCCAAGAGCAACTCAACAAATTAAATTTATCTTGCACAACTTACAATAGGAAAGTGTAAAAGTAGTCGAACAAAGGAATGCAGTGAATAATACGAATTCAAGTAAAGGCAAGCGCTCGATTTTCCACTACTCTTCTCACGCCAGATTAGTTCGCATAAGGCGCATTTACGCTGCGACTTTTGAAATGCATATGTTCATTGGAGTATATATTTAAGTATTGTTTCAATAAGTTCGAAACAAAAGAGTATAGAATAATACTATATATATATATATATATATATAATATATATAAGCAAGTTTTGATAAGAAATCATTTCGACGATGACAAGTGGCTATCAAATCTGGGTGTACTACAGATAGAATGTTAACACTAAAGAGACAGGAAATAAAACTATATATTAAGCTACGTACATAAGTACTTACTCGGATAGTAAAGAAAGGTTAAATTAGTAGAAAATTCTGGTATAGATTAATTCTCTACCAGTGGATTGAAGTGGCCTCCTGCTTTGACGGCTTGAACTGAATGAGAAGGTAAAAAAATACAACAATTGCCTTTTTCTCAAAAGAATGTGCCGTCGGGACCGTCGATATCGGATCATTATAGCATATAGCTGCTATATAATCGGAACGAGCAAAATAAGGTTCTTATACGGAAACATTTTTTATTTGACAAGATATTTTGACAAAATTTGGCATCGATTATTGTCCAAGGTAAGGCTACAAGCTCCGAACAGATTGGACCACTATAGCATATAGCTGTCAAACAAACTGGCTGATCAAAATCAAGTTCTTGTAAGGAAGCTTTTTTTATTTGTGAAGGGTATTCTACGATGCAACCGAATTTAATGATTTTTCATGTTTTTTGAAAATGATATTCCAAATCTTTGGACATAAATTAAGAAAAGCTAGAAGCCATATGTGACATAGGTTGAATAAATAGGCTGATATCATAAGGTTACGAATAATTCCAGGACAGTTAGACACGCCCGTCTGTTGTGATGCCCAGAACTTCTAGGTATGGATCACAAAGACCGTCGCATATCGACCTAGATCCTGCCACAAATTTATTGAGGCGGCTAATATCAATTGCAGCGAATACGGCGGGTCTCACTGTCAACGAGCTCAAGGCCTATATAACAGCTCTGTTATTCCTGAAAGAAGTCGTACTTGGGAGAAGTAGATTGATGTCTGACACTTCTGCTTTAAAAAAACTACAGTGATCTGGCAGTCTGAAGTAAGAGTTGATTGAAAAAAGACTACCCCTTGAGCTTCGATCATCCCCACATATTCCTCGGAGGTATGTGCGCGGAGAAGATGCCACAAGAAATAGGCTAGCGGTCCATGTTGAGACATGCATTATAAGGATTAGCGAAAGCCATATGTTTTAGATTTTTATCACGACTAAGACTTTAGATAAAAAAAGTTTAAAATGTTTACTAGCTTTTCCTTTTTTTATTTCTACAATATTTATAATATTTTTGCAGAATATCCGGAGATATCTAGTCGATTGACCATCCTGATCATGATCGTCTACAAGTAAATCAATCTCTATCAATGGTAATTGAATTTTAACAAATGTCCATACGCAATTATGGCTTGAACAAAAGTAGTCTTGCCTCAGAGAATAGGGTAATCTTAAAAAGCGAAAAAAGAGTTGAAAGGGCGCTTTTAACACATGCTATAATTTCCACTGAGTTTTATAGACAGAAATCACCGGTAAATTTGAAGCTGCAGTAAGAAAAGCTTTATAAAAATCTAACAATACAGTCTAAAGCAATTATAAAGCTTAACAATAATACGATGAATTAACAGTACTATTACTGAAAGAATAATCATTTAA